AAAAAAAAAAAAAAAGACTTGCTGTTCTCTGTTAATCCCAGTTAGTGAGATCTTGATAAATTTGAATTGAGAAACAGTTTTGAGTTGTTAGTTTCTAGTTGAGAGATACAGTATCATATACTGCAGTAGATGGCAACATTCAGCCTGAATGTTCCCCAAATTTTTCCATGTTTTATATCTTCTTAAGGTAGATATGCATAGAATATATTTATATTATGTTATATTATATTACCTCATTTTTGCCAAAGCCAGTCCTACAAATTGTCTTTTCTTTTACTGCCCTGTCACAGGAGACTGATTCAGTGTTTCATGGTTGTCAAGACACTTAGTTCTGAACACTCAGTTACTTCCACATTGACCCTGAGTGACCAATGTCTCAGTGAAAGTCACTCAAATGATACTAAGAAGAATACACATTAGTAGTATAGACACTTTTAAGTCTATACTAATTTAAATAATTAAATAATTTGCATTGTTTAGAACATAACACAAATTATTTTGTTGCTTATAAAGTTTGTGATAATCACAAGCTTATTGATATCATAATTTTTTTCAAGTCCCTTACAGTATGGAATTATTAGCCCTTTTGTCTCAAATATCTCAAAATAACCCTGCACACCTTTAATCTAAACAATTCATGTTTTTAACAATGATATGTATAAGATAAAAGGATTATTACAAAGATATTCTTAAGAGGGAAATTGGAGAGAGGAGTGGGAATAAGAGAGGAAAGGAGTGGTGTTGACTGAGTAAAGACAGTTCACACTGGAATACTAAAGGACAACTCTTATTAAAGAAGAAATGTTGGTGCTGTAGAGAAACAGAAGAATATGAAATAAGGGAGAGGAACAGGGGGCAAGAAGCAGTGGATACATGTTAACTGGGAACACCGCACCAAGCACAAGTGTTTGCCCTAGGGCTGCTGAATTCTTCCTATGGACGGATCATGTCCCACCTCCAAGCAAGGATGCGATACCTAGATACTATGTGATGGATAAAAATTGCATGCAAAAAACTCTTTTTGCTGACACTTAGAACTTATTCCTCAAATACACTCCTGCCTACAGATAGAGACATAAAATACTTTGATTTAATAACAAAAAAGACCACTAATACCTTTTCAAAGGCTCATACGTACTTCTGGAAAAAACCTTCTTTGCATCTGCATCTTCTGAAATTATGCACAAAATTAATTTATAGTCTTCAGTATACAATATATTACCATACTTTTGGACTTTTCCAAAGCACTGTTGAATTTTATCACTCTTCTCTTCAAAGGCATTTAAAGTTGAGGCTCAACTTCCCAGGCTTTGATTTCCTTGTTGATCTTGTTTGTAGGGAATTACAGAGAATTGTTCAAATTTTTATTTCAAATCGCTTGTCCTCTTTTCTCCATTAAAAAACCCTGTGTATTTCTACAGAGCTCTCTTTCTTATAGATCTCTGATCTCTGTGCTGTATAAATGTGAGCTTAGGCCTATTCTCAGAAGGTTTCTCTTACTTCCCCGAGTGGCTTGGACTGTATTGTACATAAGAAAACTCCATGTAAAGAAGACGTGAACATTGTTAAGTGTTTGTGCAAAACCCTGGGAAGTTGACTAAAATGTGTAATGCTGTGAGGTGGGGAGATTAATAGGAGATTTGGGGATGGATTTTCCACAATCTTTTGTTTACTATGTCTTCTAGTTCCAACACATATGCATCTTTCTCTGTGCCTCTTTCTTCATTCTACAGATAACAATATGAATATATTAGACTTAGAGAAGAGGTGTGGCTACTAACTCTGTTCTGTATGCATAACGAATATCAGGAATCTTCAGGTCAAATAAACTTGGCTTTATATTCTTGCTCTATCACCAACTCTTTTGTCACCAGGGCAAGTTAAATAATACCTCTGGGATTTTCTTTTTTTTTT